AAGTAGGTGACGTAGAGCCGTTCGATGGGAATCCCAAACTCCTGGGTCAGCAGCTCCAGAGCCATCTTACAGGCCAGATGCTGAGGAGGACAGCAACCATCACTGAGGTGAAAACCAGTTTAAGAACTAAAGACAGACAGACAGAGGACACTATGTACCTTAAAGTAGTCCCCGAAGGACCAGGAGCCCAGCATCTCAAAGAAGGTGTGGTGGTAGACGTCCTTCCCCACGTCGTCCAGGTCGTTGTGTTTTCCTCCTGCTCGGATGCATTTCTGTGTGTTGGCGGCCCGCCGCAGCTTGGCCATGGGGTGAGACGGGTCGATGGTGTTCAGGAAGATGGGCTTGAACTAAAGGAGACGACAGGAAGCAGAACCTGAGCGCCGCTCAAACCGCTGAAGGTCAGGCCTGAGCAGGAAGGCTGGATGCAACTTTGGATCCTACCTGGTTCATGCCGGCGTTGGCGAAAAGCAGCGTGGGGTCGTCCAGAGGGATGGTGGACGAGGAGTGGACATACTGATGCTCATAGCGGATGAAGAAGTCGATGAACTTCTGGCGAATTTGAGCTGCAGTCAAAGACGAGTCCATCCTGGATTAGCTCTCTGAGGAACGAGCAGAAGGTTTTTAGGGTGGAACCTCAGCAGGTGGGGGGTGTTTCTAAACATATCATCTACTAGTAGTTTGCTTAAAGCAGGTGCTCTCTCTCATCGTTCAGTAAACCAGGTTCATTGGATGAATGAGGCAACATCTGGATGCTCTGCTCTTCTTCTCTGGTGTTTTAATGTCAGACGTCTTAAAAACAAAGAGAGGAACTCTGCTTTTCCTCTGCGGCTCACTTTCAGGGTGTGCATCCCGACCTTCAGTCGTCTCGTTTGTTCGCTGTGACATCAGCTGTCAGAAGCTCGGTGATCCTGTCAGACAGCCGAGTTTAAAACGCTGCGCCCTTTGTTCAGCAGCGCCACACCCTGGAAATTACCCACAAGTCATCTTTGTTTTGAAGTTTTCTGGAGCCATAAACTGTTTGATAAATTACTTTTTACTAATTCATTACACTTTTAACCCCTAGAACCCTACGGACCCACCGGTGGGTCCAGCTGCTACGTGACCTCGTAATTTTAACAAACCCCCAGTATTGATGTATAAAACATATTTGGCACAGTTTGGTGACATTTTTGGATAAATGTGCCAAAATGGCCTCTCCGTCTAAGAAATTTCTCACTAATACTATTCTAAAATAAATATGATTCATCTGATTGAGTCCAAATTTGGTATATTTTTACACAACATTTAGATTTAAAAGTCTGTACTACTTTTTTGTGCTATAAATAATATTTTGGTAGTGTTTTGCAATGTTTATTTTAAAGAAAATTTTGGCGAGGTTCAAAAAATGCAAAATATTTTGTATTTTGTCCCTAATATTTCAGGCAGGGTCAAAGCTACAATGGTGCTGACACCAGAAAACCATTCTATGACATCTTACCTTTACAGAGGTACCAAAAGTTTCTTCTTAAATCTAATAGCTGTGAGGCTATAAGTTATTTACTTTTGTGGGTTTTTGTCAGGCAGAAATTTTTTTATACCCCCTGAGGGTGTAAGAGGTTAAGAAAAAAAAAATGAAGCATTTATTTTATTCCATTTTCACCCAATTAGATAAAAGAGTTATTCAAATGTTTTGGGTTAATTAAAATGTATCGGAGAAGCATAATGTATTTGCAGCATAAAGCATGCTGTGAAAAATGAAAAAAAGGAGCAGAGATGAAATCATCCAGGGAGAAAATCTGTACAGGAAACCCCAAAGCAGGTCCCATCTGCTCCGCAGGGCCGAGGAGAGGATGGAAAACAGCCCACTGTCCCCATCCTGACTACAGGGACCTGTGTTTATGATGGGCGGAAACATCGACCCACTGTGGTTTACTGCAGGATGTCAGAACGCACCAGGGAGACGGCAAGGAGGAGCAGCAGGACAACAAGGGAACATTTTTAATCCAGAAATTATTCCTGTCCATCGTTTCCATTCAGAGATCAGCCTAACATGTGCAGCAGATCTGACCGCTGCACATGTTAGGCTGAAAAACCCACCGTCACATGGATACCAAATGTCTGATGTAAACATGAAGCCTGAACAGGCGGAATAATAACAACGAGAACAAGGCAATAAAAACAACTTCAAATCTGAGCTCAATCTTCTTCCTTCAGGTTTTTGGTTTTCCAGACATCTTAACATTCACACAGCTTCACCTGCATCAGCCCTGATTTTATTTCTAATAAAGACCACTGTTAAAGATAAGGCTCTATGACTGCGGTTCTTTTCCTAAAACAGATCACTGGGGACAAACTCTTTAAATAACACTTAATAACTTATATGTATTAAATAATCAGGAGACATGACAACAGATTCTGATAGAAACTGTAATCTTACTCAGATCAGAAACACCAAACCCTCAGAAATCAAAAGTAAATCATAAATCCACTAAAGCTGAATAGGTCTGGAGTTTAACAGAGCAAAAGGGTTTAAATATTACTTCCGGGGTTTATAGACTTTATCGTTCTAACGTGAAATAAAAGCTTTCATCAGCTTAGTGATGTTGAAGCTGAAAAAATACTGAAAAGGAGAAATAAAGCAAGACTTATTGAGGTCTTCAATTTAGGCTACATTTCTTGCTTACTGTATAAAACATGGGACAGTTTTCCTAATTATTCCAGCAGCATTTCCCAAACTGGGATTAATAATCGTGTAATTAAAGAAATTGACGCCTCCTCTGTGGAAACTATACATGAAGCTTATTTTAATTTCAAAATAAAGGCTCCATTTCTACCTTGTTTCTGGTATTTTCACCACAGTTTCATTATTTTCTTCCCCTCTACAGGAAGAATACGGTAAATTAGATTAACTGTAACAGAAGAAGAGGAAAGCCGACAGAAATTTGGTTTCATTTGTTTTTTCCGACAAATCTCTAACTCGAAGATGAATAATTTGTCCTGACGTTTGCAAGCTAGCATGGTAGCTAGCCTAGCAGGCTAACTTCATTTTTTAGGGTAAATTCGGGAATTAGACGAGAAGTTATCAAAGACAGCCTGATTAAACCATCAGTTTCTGAGCGTGGATGTTCTCCTAACTCACAGACAGTCCGGTAATACTCACGGTAGTCACTGTTGTCACGGAATGAATCGGTTAAAGCTTCCAGAATCACCGCCTTGATCCACGCCGCTTGGCCAAAAGGGAAACCTGCGACTACGAACACGCCCATGGAGGCCACCCATTGGCCAGAGCGCAACATGACGCATTCAATGTTGGACTCTGATTGGTCCAGGCTGGTGTCAGTTCTATTCCTACCCGCCACATCAATGCAACAAACTGCAGCGGCTCGGCTGATGCAACGGAGGCGGAGGTGTCGCTTCTGCGCCTCACTCACAAAACATGTTTATTCATTTGTTTAAAGTTAAAAACAATTATTTTACCTCATATTTCTCTATTTTGTTTCATAGGTTTTGTGTCTGCGACATATTTTAATTTAAGTAACATTTTGAGGCGGAAAGAAAAACAAAACTAGAATTTATTTGTATAATTTTTATTTTCTTATCATTTATTGTGACTAGTTCAGATACAGTTGGAGCATGATTACAAAGCTGCTGATGTTCTTAGTGTGCTTATTTATAATTCATGGATTGAACTTCATAAAATGTTATTTTTATGGTTTAACTACATGATAAAAACAATCATGTTTTATTTTTCTTTGGCTCCTATTATTTTTCTCTCTCTTCATGACAGCAAGGCAACAATTAAAAAAAATTAGTGAAGAGGCTAAAACCCAAAAGATCTGAAAAGGAAGAGAAACTCATGTTTAAACAAAAACTTTGTTTCCAAAGACAAATGAGAATCTGTGAGTTGATCAAGTAAATTATTTGATCTGATGCAGTATAATAACTGTATTATAACATTGTGCAGGTGTTGAATTTGACTTTTAGAGAAACTATTAGTACAACCAATATCTGTCACATCTACCGGACATTTCTCTTCCATAAAATCTCTCTTTCTTACAGTAGGCCTACCAAGGATGGAGCATCATTATCTACAGTATATGCTTCTTATCTTCTTAGAGCTAGAACTCATATAGATAAACTGTGACTTCCAAGTTATCTAAATAATTAATTCTGTTCAATTCCTTTATTCTTATTTTGGTCATTAGAACAAATTTATCAACTTAAGTACACTGCATGTGACCAAGGATTTAGGCAGAAGTAAAACATATATAGCTTATAAATTTTATATTTCTTGTTTCAAAATTTCCAACATTATAATTGCTTATATCCAGCAGATGCTGATGAACAATACTTAAGAAAAAAGTGAAATGTTTATATGTTGAGACTTGTTCTTATCGTTTATTAGAGTTTATACATTATTGTAAATCGTCACTGCAACTTCCAATTAATACGATTAGTCATTTAATCGTAAATCTTTTTTCTTAAATCAGTTCTTTTAATTGTCATTGTTGAATTCAGTTTCAATTTAATTCAGTTTATTGAATTTAATTATAAATTATACACATTTACTACAGTTCCGTGTCAGTAACCCTCCTTATACTATGCTTACACAATATATATACCATTCATATACTGTTCCATTCCTTCCATCCACAGTAAAAATCCTATAATTTGTTGGTTCCATCATATAGTCGTAAAAAAAAAAAATAATAAAAAAAAGAAGAAAAAAAAATATGTAACAACAATTTTGGGGCATAAATACTTTTGCAAAGCACTGAATGACAAAACATCTAAACTAAAAATGAGGAAAACAGAAAAGTTAATTGGAATGTTTAAAAGGTCATTAATGAGAAATAAATGAACACTACAATGATTGATAAGCAAAGTCTTTGAAGGATAGCATGTTTTGATATAGTTTAATTGTTGAAAATAAGTATTATCAATGTAAGAGAAAATAACAACAACATTTGAAATTAATACTAAATAAACAAACATTTTATAGAAGGGGCATCCGGAACCTTCGCTTCTTGCTCTTGTCCACCGGGGACCGTTTATCCGAGCGGTCCACTTAGAGTCATGCCGACCGACACGAAGCGAGTTCGCGGGCCTGAGGTGTCTCAGAACCCGTCCCTGTTCTGGTCCCGACCTGCCGAGGTTCTGTCCTCTCACGGACGCAGGGCGGACGGTCGGCAGCGGGACCAGGTGGACGTCCGGCCGGTGTTTGTCCGGTGCGGCCTGGTGAGTCAGGCTAAAGGTTCCGCTTACATGGAGGCTGGGAACACCAAGGTGCTGTGCTGCGTTTACGGACCGCGGGAGACCGAGCGGAAGGATGAGACCGACATGAAGTCTGGAAGGTGAGTCTGTTTTTAAACCCTGTCTGTCATCAGAGCAGAAGTGGAGTAAAAGTGGAGCAGAGGTGGTTCCGTTTGAATGTTCTGCGTTGGTTTGGGTTTAAGGAAGGTTCTTTCTTTGGAGCTTCAGCTTTCTGCGTTCACATTCAACCCGTGGATATTTTTTTTTGTTATTACAATGTAACAAATACAGAGCAACGACATGAACTCTCTGCATATTAACCCATCTCATTGGGGAGCAGTGGGCTGCCATTGTGCGGCGCCCGGGAGCAGTAAGGGGTTAAGGGGTTTTGCTGAGGAACCAAGGATCTGTTCTAATCTATGAGAAAACTTTACCTTTTCCAATGAGTCGCTTTAATAAAAAAAACATTTTATGGTTGAATGAGCCTTTGGAATCGTCTCTGCTTTATTGAGAAGGAAATGTGTCTCACTTGGACTTAATTTCTTTCTCTACATGCAGGTTCTCCTTTTATTATTGAGAGGATTCAGCAGAAACACCTTAACCACAGTAAACCATGGTGGAGGCTGCATAATGCTGTGGTCTCAACGTTTTTCAAATGCAGCTGGAATTTTGATTAAAAGGGATGAAATTAAGAGTAGTTTTCAAAATCTGAAGGTGGACTTTTTTCCTCTCGGCATCTTTGATAAACTCAAGAATAAAACTGCAGCTCTTTGAATGACCAAAGCTACCTCTAAGCACCAGTTTGAATCTTTTTGGGTGTAGGTTCATTTTTCTCATGAGCTATTCCTTCCATCTGATTTCTGGGTCCCAGTTTTAGGTGGGGTTGGTGGTGCCTACAGGTGAATTGATGGTGCATTCAGGTGGGTTGGTGGTGTGTATAGGTGGGTTGGTGGTGCATCCAAGCATCTGACTTGAAATGTGATGGAGCCGTGGGGCGAATTTTCATAGTGTCCTCCATGTTTTATTTCATATGACTCGTCGCAGTATCTCGCGGCCGGACATGCTTGTGACACAAAGCAGCGGGCGTCAACGCATCCGCGGCGACATCTGCTGGACTGGAAGTTGTATTCCACTTGGTTTGGCTGATGTGCGCCAACCATACATGTATTTTATTTGTTCATTTTTTTATTTTTTATTTTTTAGTAATCGATTCTTTCCTTCATGAATCGATGCAGTAGATCACAAAAATTAGAATCGCGATGCATCGTCATGATGATTATTTTGCACACCCTTAGTTGGTGTTGCATACAGGTGGGTTGATGGTGCGTTCAGGTGAGTTTGTGGTGCGTTCAGGTGGGTTGGTGGTGCATTCAAGTGGGTTGGTGGTGCGTTCAGGTGGGTTGGTGGTGCGTTCAGGTGGGTTGGTGGTGCATTCAGGTGGGTTGGTGGTGCGTTCAGGTGGGTTGGTGGTGCGTTCAGGTGGGTTGGTGGTGTGTTCAGGTGGGTTGGTGATGCGTTCAGGTGGGTTGGTGGTGCGTTCAGGTGGGTTGGTGGTGCGTTCAGGTGAGTTGGTGGTGCGTTCAGGTGGGTTGGTGGTGCGTTCAGGTGGTTTGGTGGTGCGTTCAGGTGGGTTGGTGGTGCGTTCAAGTGTGTTGGTGGTGCGTTCAGGTGGGTTGGTGGTGCGTTCAGGTGGGTTGGTGGTGCGTTCAGGTGGGTTGGTGGTGCGTTCAGGTGGGTTGGTGATGCGTTCAGGTGGGTTGGTGATGCGTTCAGGTGGGTTGGTGATGCGTTCAGGTGGGTTGGTGATGCGTTCAGGTGGGTTGGTGGTGCGTTCAGGTGGGTTGGTGGTGCGTACAGGTGGGTTGACGATGCGTTCAGGTGGGTTGACGATGCGTTCAGGTGGGTTGACGGTGCGTACAGGTGGGTTTGTGGTGCGTACAGGTGGGTTGGTGGTGCGTACAGGTGGGTTGGTGGTGCGTACAGGTGGGTTGGTGGTGCGTACAGGTGGGTTGGTGATGCGTTCACGTGGGTTGGTGGTGCGTTCAGGTGGGTTGGTGGTGCGTTCAGGTGGGTTGGTGGTGCGTTCAGGTGAGTTGGTGGTGCGTTCAGGTGGGTTGGTGGTGCGTTCAGGTGGGTTGGTGGTGCGTACAGGTGGGTTGGTGGTGCGTACAGGTGGGGTAGTGGTGCGTACAGGTGAGTTGGTGGTGCGTTCAGGTGAGTTGGTGGTGCGTTCAGGTGGGTTGGTGGTGCGTTCAGGTGGGTTGGTGGTGCGTTCAGGTGGGTTGGTGATGCGTACAGGTGGGTTGGTTGTGCGTTCAGGTGGGTTGGTGATGCGTTCAGGTGGGTTGGTGGTGCGTTCAAGTGTGTTGGTGGTGCGTTCAGGTGTGTTGGTGGTGCGTTCAGGTGGGTTGGTGGTGCGTTCAGGTGGGTTGGTGGTGCGTTCAGGTGGGTTGGTGATGCGTTTAGGTGGGTTGGTGGTGCGTTCAGGTGGGTTGGTGATGCGTTCAGGTGGGTTGGCGATGCGTTCAGGCTGGTTGGTGGTGCGTACAGGTGGGTTGATGGTGCGTACAGGTGGGTTGGTGGTAGGGGTGGGTATTGGCAAAGAGGTCATGATTCAATTCGAATCACGATTCACATGCCACGATGCGATTCTATCACGATGCATCGCGATACTTGAAATATTGCGATGCGTTGCGATATTTTCACCGAACACTGTAAGAAAAAGATACAACCCTTACCAGTGGCTGACTGGCTGGGTGTGATCTGGATAGTGTCTTCAATTGATACATAACTGAAAGCAAATGAATTCATACATAGCTGTATTTATTGAAATTACTTTTGGAGGTGTTGCCATGGAAACAAATACTGGACAGAAACAGGATTCATCAAACTTAAAATAACAAAATAAGGATAATCAGTGCCATTTACATGGCCTCAGTGGTCCTTTAAACCAATGAAATGAAAACATTCAAATTTCCCCTTTTGCAAATTACATGCATCATATCAATTTCGTTTTTACCTTCTTTGTTTTTAAAGCCTAAATGCATCCAAGCATCTGACTTGAAATGTGATGGAGCCGTGGGGCGATTTTTCATAGTGTCCTCCATGTTTTATTTCATATGACTCGTCGCAGTATCTCGCGGCCGGACATGCTTGTGACACAAAGCAGCGGGCGTCAACGCATCCGCGGCGACATCTGCTGGACTGGAAGTTGTATTCCACTTGGTTTGGCTGATGTGCGCCAACCATACATGTATTTTATTTGTTCATTTTTTTTTTTTTTTTTTTTTTAGTAATCGATTCTTTCCTTCATGATCGATGCAGTAGATCACAAAAATTAGAATCGCGATGCATCGTCATGATGATTATTTTGCACACCCTTAGTTGGTGTTGCATACAGGTGGGTTGATGGTGCGTTCAGGTGAGTTTGTGGTGCGTTCAGGTGGGTTGGTGGTGCATTCAGGTGGGTTGGTGGTGCGTTCAGGTGGGTTGGTGGTGCGTTCAGGTGGGTTGGTGGTGCGTACAGGTGGGTTGGTGATGCGTTCAGGTGGGTTGGTGGTGCGTTCAGGTGGGTTGGTGGTGCGTTCAGGTGGGTTGGTGGTGCGTTCAGGTGGGTTGGTGATGCGTTCAGGTGGGTTGGTGGTGCGTTCAGGTGGGTTGGTGGTGCGTTCAGGTGGGTTGGTGGTGCGTTCAGGTGAGTTGGTGGTGCGTTCAGGTGGGTTGGTGGTGCGTTCAGGTGGGTTGGTGGTGCGTTCAGGTGGGTTGGTGGTGCGTTCAGGTGGGTTGGTGGTGCGTTCAGGTGGGTTGGTGGTGCGTTCAGGTGGGTTGGTTGTGCGTTCAGGTGGGTTGGTGGTGCGTTCAGGTGGGTTGGTGGTGCGTTCAGGTGGGTTGGTGGTGCGTTCAGGTGAGTTGGTGGTGCGTTCAGGTGGGTTGGTGGTGCGTTCAGGTGGGTTGGTGGTGCGTTCAGGTGGGTTGGCGATGCGTTTAGGTGGGTTGGTGGTGCGTTCAGGTGGGTTGGTGATGCGTTCAGGTGGGTTGGCGATGCGTTCAGGTGGGTTGGTGGTGCGTACAGGTGGGTTGATGGTGCGTACAGGTGGGTTGGTGGTAGGGGTGGGTATTGGCAAAGAGGTCATGATTCAATTCGAATCACGATTCACATGCCACGATGCGATTCTATCACGATGCATCGCGATACTTGAAATATTGCGATGCGTTGCGATATTTTCACCGAACACTGTAAGAAAAAGATACAACCCTTACCAGTGGCTGACTGGCTGGGTGTGATCTGGATAGTGTCTTCAATTGATACATAACTGAAAGCAAATTAATTCATACATAGCTGTATTTATTGAAATTACTTTTGGAGGTGTTGCCATGGAAACAAATACTGGACAGAAACAGGATTCATCAAACTTAAAATAACAAAATAAGGATAATCAGTGCCATTTACATGGCCTCAGTGGTCCTTTAAACCAATGAAATGAAAACATTCAAATTTCCCCTTTTGCAAATTACATGCATCATATCAATTTCGTTTTTACCTTCTTTGTTTTTAAAGCCTAAATGCATCCAAGCATCTGACTTGAAATGTGATGGAGCCGTGGGGCGAATTTTCATAGTGTCCTCCATGTTTTATTTCATATGACTCGTCGCAGTATCTCGCGGCCGGACATGCTTGTGACACAAAGCAGCGGGCGTCAACGCATCCGCGGCGACATCTGCTGGACTGGAAGTTGTATTCCACTTGGTTTGGCTGATGTGCGCCAACCATACATGTATTTTATTTGTTCATTTTTTTTTTTTTTTTTTTTTAGTAATCGATTCTTTCCTTCATGATCGATGCAGTAGATCACAAAAATTAGAATCGCGATGCATCGTCATGCTGATTATTTTGCACACCCTTAGTTGGTGGTGCATACAGGTGGGTTGATGGTGCGTACAGGTGGGTTTGTGGTGCGTACAGGTGGGTTGGTGGTGCGGACAGGTGGGTTGGTGATGCGTTCAGGTGGGTTGGTGGTGCGTTCAGGTGGGTTGGTGGTGCGTACAGGTGGGGTAGTGGTGCGTACAGGTGGGTTGGTGGTGCGGACAGGTGGGTTGGTGATGCGTTCAGGTGGGTTGGTGGTGCGTTCAGGAGGGTTGGTGGTGCGTACAGGTGGGTTGGTGATGCGTTCAGGTGGGTTGGTGGTGCGTACAGGTGGGTTGGTGGTGCGGACAGGTGGGTTGGTGATGCGTTCAGGTGGGTTGGTGGTGCGTTCAGGTGGGTTGGTGATGCGTTCAGGTGGGTTGGTGGTGCGTTCAGGTGGGTTGTGGTGCGTTCAGGTGAGTTGGTGGTGCGTTCAGGTGGGTTGGTGGTGCGTTCAGGTGGGTTGGTGGTGCGTTCAGGTGGGTTGGTGGTGCGTTCAGGTGGGTTGGTGGTGCGTTCAGGTGGGTTGGTGGTGCGTTCAGGTGGGTTGGTGATGCGTTCAGGTGGGTTGGTGATGCGTTCAGGTGGGTTGGTGGTGCGTTCAGGTGGGTTGGTGGTGCGTACAGGTGGGTTGGTGGTGCGGACAGGTGGGTTGGTGATGCGTTCAGGTGGGTTGGTGGTGCGTACAGGTGGGTTGGTGGTGCGTTCAGGTGGGTTGGTGGTGCGTTCAGGTGAGTTGGTGGTGCGTTCAGGTGGGTTGGTGGTGCGTACAGCTCCTCTGTCTGCTCCTGTAGTTCATGTGTTTTTGGCTTTTTAAAACAGCTCTGTGTATTTCTGTGTCTCAGACTGACCACCGACATGCGCTTCGCCCCGTTCTCCTGCCCGGAGCGCGGCTCATGGATCCAGGGCAGCCAGGACAAGGACTTCTCTCTGATGCTGCAGGAGAGTCTGCAGCCGGCCGTCTGCCTGCACAGATACCCGCGCTCTCAGATAGAGGTCAACGTCATGGTTCTGGAGAACAGCGGCTCGGTCCTGGCCCACGCCATCACCTGTGCTTCCATGGCACTGGCAGACGCCGGGATTGAGATGTACGGCCTTGTGCTGGGCTGTTCCCTCCGTCAGGACGGCGCCTCCTACGTGGTGGACCCCACATACCCAGAGGAAAACAGCTGGAAGTCGGGCGGCGGGGAGAAGCGGGGCGGCTTGACGGTGGCCTTCCTGCCGAGTCTGAACCAGGTTTCTGGGCTGCAGTCAGACGGTGAGATGTCGGAGGAGACTCTGACTGCAGGGATTCGGACCTGCATCGAGGGCTGCTATAAACTATATCCTGTGGTCCAGCAGGCCCTAATGAAGGCCGTTCGCCAGGCCGCTGCGCCACCGGCAGAGAGCTAAGACACCTGGGACCTTCTGTCTCTAAGAACATTGTCTCTTATCTGTCTTTGGTCCTTTTTTTTTTTTAATAAAGGTTTTCTAAATGTTGCTGTTTGTTCTTCAGTGTGACCATCAGCCTTTCTGTTCAGTAAATCAGAATATTGCTTCCTGATTGTCCTGAACCATTTAGGGGGCGGAGTTTAATGATAAATAGAACATCAAATCTCATGCAAACTGTCAGGCACGGTGGGGGAGGAAGTATGATCTGAGTCGACCTCCAACTCTTCTCTAAACCAAAGGTAGAAAATCTTGTGATCAGAATCAGGTGATTTTCAGCGGTCTGGGCCTGCCAGCTGGTGGACACTCGGGTAGTTTGACCTGTGACCTCAGCTCAGTGACAACAACAGTTTTCAATGTCTATTTCGGGACACGGTAGAAAAACAAGCCAAAGCTGAACTTGGATGTTTTAAAGCAACGCTTTAGGGAGACGAGCAGAATTTCTGATGCCTTTTATCTGGATGAGATTCATCCAGGTCATAGTCATTCTAAAAAAGTAAAAAAAAAAACAATCCACTGGACTTGGTTACCAAGCTTTAAACTCGGTAACCAAGTCCAGTGGATTGTTTTTTTTTCTTTCTTTTTACTTTGCCTTTTATCATCTATTATATAAATTCTGGATTACTTTGGGATCTACACTGAAGAATTCAGCAACAGTTTTTCATTCAAACTCCTGGTGAGACATCCTGTAATAAGAGACCAGCTTTGATAAAATCCAACCTTTTTATTTATACAGTTAAATGATTTTTCTAATGTTTTATGCAGTTATAGTATTTTGATATTTTTTTCTTACAGTCAGAATCTAACAACGTGGAGTTAGAGTAGTTTTAGGTTGTCATATTTTATTCAGCTGGTATTTTTTCACATAGTTGTAGTTATTCTTATACAGAGTTGTATAAGAATATTCTAAATTCCTTGACGTTTAGCTTGTACCTATCAGATTCATCACCGGATGGTCAAACAGACCTGAATTGGAGGAAAGGTTCATTAGAACTGAGCAGAACCCGGTGACATCAGGGCAGGGATGTTCTGGTTGTTCTGAGTAACCAGACAACGTTCTCCGCTCTCATGGATCCAGCTGGAGCAGGTCAGACCTGTTCAGGTGTTAACGGATAAAGTCTGTTAAAACTGCAGGGATCCTGTGCTCATGAAAACCCAAAATTCCTGTCTCACTAAATTAGCATATCATGAAAAAGGTCTCTAAAGGAGCTATGCACCTAATCATCTGATTCAACAAATTAACTCTAAACACCTGCAAAAGATTCCTGAGGCCTTTAAAACTCCCAGCCTGGTTCATCACTCAAAACCCCAATCATGGGTCAGACTGCCGACCTGACTGCTGTCCAGAAGGCCATCATTGACCCTTCAAGAAAGGGGCTATGACCCAGAAAGATATTTCTGAACCAGTAGGCTGTACCCAGAGAGCTGCATCAAGGCACCTCAGTGGGAAGGAAAAAGTGTGGCAGAAAAAGCGAGAAGAGTTGACTGGACCCTGAGGCAGATTGTAGAGAAGGGCTGATTCCAGACCTTGGGGGAGCTGTGGAAGCAGTGGACTGAGTCTGGAGTAGAAACATCCAGAGCCGCCGTGCACAGGCGTGTGCAGGAAATGGGATACAGGTACCCGCATTCCCCAGATCAAGCCACTTTTGAAGCAGAAACAGCGGCAGAGGCTCCTGACCTGGGCTACAGAGAAGCAGGACTGGACTGTTGCTCAGTTTTGTACGTCATTTGGAAATCAAGCTGCCAGAGTCTGGAGGAAGACTGGGGAGAAGGAAATGCCAAAATGCCAGAAGTCCAGTATCAGGTACCCAGAGTCACTGATGGTCTGGGGTGCCATGTCAACTGCTGGTGTTGGTCCGCTGTGTTTTATCAAGGGCTGTTCAATGCAGCTATCAGGAGATTTTGTTGCACTTCATGCTTCCATCTGCTGAAAAGCTTTATGGAGATGAAGATTTCATTTTTCAGCACGACCTGGCACCTGCTCACAGTGCTAAAACCACTGGTAAATGATTTACTGACCATGATATCACTGTGCTCATTGGCCTGCCAACTCTCCTGACCTGAACCCCAAACAGAATCTGTGGGATATTATGAAGAGAAAGTTGAGAGAAGCAAGACCGAACACTGTGGATGAGCTAAAGGCTAAAAGCTATGGAAGCATCCTGGGCCTCCATAACACCTCAGCAGAGACACAGGCTGATTGCCTCCATGCCACGCCGCATTGAAGCTGTCATTTCTGCAAAGGGATTCCGCACCATGTATTGAGTGTATAACTGTACATCAGACGTCTTCAACAGGGGGTCCGCGACCCCTGGGGCGTCCGCGGAGGTACTGCATGGGGGTCGCGAATGTCTTGGTTGATTACTTTTTTTTATATTCCCTCCTGCAATTTTTTGCACTAATTAAAATGTCTTTAAATACACATCAACGTGAATTCAACACACTGTAGTAAACAGATAAATTGAAGCAGAGGATGTCCTTCAGTCATCAATGCACACATTTAGCAACACACAGGGGCTCTTTCAAACCTGGGCACCATTTCATTCACAACACCTGTCCCATCAACCAGGAATCAGAATCAGAAATACTTTAATAATCCCAGGGAGAAATTACTTTAGTTACATGACTCCATCTGTAATAGAGTGACTATAGGACCAGTTTGATTTAACACAATATATATAATTAGGTGGTCCCCGCTCCATCTCACAATCAGTTTGGGGGTCCTTGGCCTAGAAAACGTTGAAGACCCCTGCTGTACATAATTATTTGAAGGTTGACTTTTTTTGTATTAAGAACACTTTTCTTTTATTGGTTGGATGAATTATGCTAATTTAGTGAGATAGGAATGTTGTGTTTTCATGAGCTGTATGCCAAAATCATCCGTATTAAGACAATAAAATACCTGAAATATTTCAGTTATTGCGCAATGAATCTAAAATATATGAACGTTCAAGTTTTATCATTACATCATAAATAATGAACTTTATTATAATATGCTAATATTTTGAGAAGGACCTGTATTTTTCCAGATGTTTATGTTACTTTAAACTTTAATAGGACTTACTGATTTCCTGAAGGTTATTGGTTACTTTCCTATGACTTAGAAAGTTCTTCACAAATCTCCAATCTACTGGTTACTTTCCTGAAACCTGCAGCTTTCTGTGCAATTTTTTAAAAACTACTGTAATATAAGGTGACTTGTATCAGTGTGCAACCCAGAACCTACGGGTCAGAACTTCTGGAAGGCTTCAATAGATTTTTAGATAACTTAACAAATTAAATGTTACTTTCCAAAATTTTCTTAGCAAAGGAAATGAACCAGAAAGTTCCAGAACCCAGAAAGTCTAGCAAAGTGTGCCGGACTGTCTTGGGTCATAAAATGTGTCCTGAAGGATCCAAATGTCAGATCCTGAATTCTTCAGCTCTCCTCTCATCCCAGCATTTAGTTTAATTGTCTAATGAATCACCGCCTGCTGAGAGCGAAACAGAACAAACTTCAGAGTTTATTCACCAAAAAGCTCTGAATCCCTAATGTAAGCAGGGCCCAGCTGGGTCCACTTGGAGAGTTGTTATAATCCTCCTCTGACCTATAAACAGGAAAATACAGAATATAGAGCATCATGGTCCCATCTCCAAATATGACGCTGAGTGTTGTCCTTGTAAGGGAATCCAGCTTGAGACATCTGAACTTTAGGGTCGGATTCAGTTACATTAAATGTGACCTTTTCCACCATTTATTTTTCCTTTTCCGTTTGTCTGTAACTTGGAATCTGTGAAGGAAATCCAAACAAACATTCAAACATCACAGCAGAGTTTTTCTCTGATGATTTCTGGATGTTTGGACCTTCAGCATAAAGCAGCCTGACTTCAGAACTGTTCTGATTTAGTTTGGGTCAGATTTGATGGCGATGCTCATAAACAGGTGATGAGACCTGTTGGTTTTATACCCCCCCCCCCCCTCCTCCTCGCGGGGCGCAGCGCGGGACCTGCGGCTTTCAAACAGCACATTAGCGCGTTTCTGGAAATGCTGCCCGGAAATTTGTCCAAATAAACACAGCTTGATTCGGCCTGGGTGGGCAGACTTATCAAGCACTAATTCTGTAAACAGATGAGAGAATAAGCGGGCCCCTCATTGGCTGGGGCCCTGGGGGAAGGGGGGTGAATGGATGTGGGTGGGCTGGTTCTGATGGACACTTTATTTCCCAGTTCAGAGTCAAAACATCGCAACCAACCAGAGGCTCCGGACAGTTTTCTGGGGCCCCATGAGTCTGAGGAAGGAGAGGCTCCGCTGTGTCAGGGACCCCCGCTGCTTTCCCTCCCCAGCCTCATGGCTCTGTTCCCCGGCCGCGTGCCGCCGGCTCTGAGCCTCTCCGGACCCCCGCTGATCTATCTGTACGGAGGGGACAGCGCGCTGAGCCTGGTGCCGGGCCCCCAGGAGCCCCCTCAGAAGCCCCCCTACAGCTACATCGCGCTCATCGCCATGGCGATCAGGAGCGCGCCCGGGCAGCGCGCCACCCTCAGCGGTATCTACCAGTTCATCATGGAGCGGTTCCCCTTCTACCAGGACAACAAGCAGGGCTGGCAGAACTCCATCCGCCACAACCTGTCCCTGAACGACTGCTTCATCAAGCTGCCCCGGGAGAAGGGCCGGCCCGGCAAGGGCAGCTACTGGACCCTGGACTCCAGCTGCCTGGACATGTTCGAGAACGGCAACTACCGCCGCAGGAAGCGGAGGGCCAGGGGCCAGCAGGACGCCAAAGAGCAGGGGCCGAGGCGCGCCAAGGGCCCGGCGCCATCCAAGGACTCGAAGCGCACAGAGCCGGACCCAGAACCGGTTCTCTTCAAGTTCAGCCAGCAGGTTCATCCCACACAGAGGCAGCAGGTTTCCCCCAGCAGAGACCCCCCCGATGGCCCCCACCGGGCCGAGCCCTCCCAGCAGGCCCCCAGAGGAGGCCCGCAGAGGACGGAGCGGTCCAAAGGCTTCACCATAGACAGCATCTTATCCAAAGACCCGGAGCAGGCGCGCCACCGCGCCCCGGATGTTTCAGCGGAGAGTCTGTGGGCGTCCCCGCTCCTGGGCGCGCGCCCCCATCCGCTGGTCCAGGTGGGGTTCCCGCTCTGCTCCTACCTGTCCCTCACGTGCTCGGACCCAGCGGTGCGCTTTAAATGAAGGGATCATCATCATCATCATCATCATCGCCATCATTTATATTGTTCAGACAGGACAGCAAACCAACAGGATGGAGTTTTAATTCATCTGAACCTGTTACTGTTTAATGTTTGACTTTTTGCTTCCTTTGTTGACGCAGCAAAAAAAAAAAAAAAAAAGTTAATTGTAAATATTTGTAAGTTATGGTGACAGGGCATGGCTTTGCCAAACAAGGTGAGGATAAATCCTACTGTAACCAAATCATATAGAGTGGTTCGCTCTGCCTTTGAATAAAGTTCAGGTAGAAATCAAGCTGTGGGGCTGATATCCTTTTTTATTGTACATATTTTCTGAAGGAAGGATCCAACCTGAATGTCTCTGCTGCTTGTTTGCAGCAAACTGCAGGAATCTCGGAGAAGTTCTGCAGACTCAGGTGTTCATGAAACATCAGAGACTGAAGATGCTTCAGAAAAGCTACAGCAGAGAAAACTAGAGACACATCAGGAAGCAGAAATAAATCCTGCATTTGAAAGTATATCCATTCCCTCCACTTCAAAATTACAGCATTTTAATAAATACCTGTAAAACAAATAACTTTTACTTTCAGCTTTGATTTTATGAGAAACCTAAAACCATTCCCCTCTTCTAAATGGTTATTTAAATAACCAACCAAACTGAAAGTGCCTCTATTTTCTATTTCTCTATGTTTTGTAATGGACATGCAGCCAGAGGTCGGCGCCGGCCCACCTGGACCGGGGTGGGGCTGCAGTCACCCTTTTATTTTGTCCATTTTTCTTTCATAATCAACCAGAGAAAAAAATCACTTATTCAAACTGTTTACTTTTAATATTAAAGCTTAAAACTTTCCTGAGCTCAGAGTTTTCTTTAGTTTCCTGGTTGATATTTAGGAGAATTAAAATAATTTCACAGGGGAAAATTTTTTTTATTCTTTTTAAATGCATTCAGTTAAAAAAATCATGTATTGATCCCAAAAGGAAATGAAATGTTTTCACTCTTACAGGGATAATAGCAGGAAGGATCTCCTGTAGAGGTCTGTCTGCAGTGGAGAAGCCTCTGACTGAAGACGCTCTGTTTGTGTTTAACAGTCTGATGAAGAGGAGGCTCACTGTTTTCTAATTTATCATTCACTCACTCTCAGATTCTCTGCTTGTTCACTGTGGTTTGGTGTGAAAATAAACTAGATTTGACCTGATATAGACATTTTCTAAAGCCACCATAGAGAGAGGTCTGTTTTTAGTTCATAGTAATTCATCTTAACTAAAACAATTAAAGATATAATTGAGGATGTTCTTTTCCTGGGTGGATCATCAAAATAAGTGGTCCTCCTAACTGTCAATCATTCTGGTGATATGTTAACGTAAGGCCGTCCTACATGCTTGTCGCCATTTATACTTACCGGTGGTGAGTCTGACATAAAAGCTTGTAAGAGCGATGCAAACAGCATCTTCTAAACAGAGCGTACACGAGGAGAAATGGGCTTGTGCATGCACTTGCACGCATTTAATAGACATTCCCTCTCGGGAGCGGGTACAGAGTTGTTGGTGTGCTTTTTTAAAGTGGAGAGGGAGGGTCTTTAAAAAAAATAATCATAAAGATCCTACGCAATACCTTTGAGCAAATAAAACAGTTTTTAATATTAGAGGACTACTGGTTTATGCTGCCCTGGGCAGAGAGTCGTACCGGATGTCTGAAATGCAGTTCAAACCAGTTTATCAGCAGCCAAACAATCAGTGAGTCCAAACAAAGTAGCAAATCTAGGCCAAAAAAAGACGGCCTAGTCAAAGTCCAGCCCTCCGCCTGATTAAGAGGCTGCTGTAGGACACCAGAGAGGTACGTAAAAACCTGAATGAACTCAAGCAGCAAAGCATTGTGGATAAAAGTGCTGCAAAGGGATGTGGGACAGAGAGTAAAGACATTTTTAAATAAATTCAAATTTTCTAATAAAACCTCATGTTCTGAGGCCTTGATGGTCTGTTCTGATCTGGGATCTGTCACCTGCATGAAATCAGCGGGCCGTGCTGACAGCAGCAGCATCACAGCGTGTCTAAATAAAGCCTCCACTGAGAAGCGGTGCGAGGCGGCGCTGTTTGTTTGAAATAAATAAACTTCCCTCACAATCACAAGCATTTCCTGTGTATAGGATTCTTTGGGCAGACGTGTAAATAAAGCATGATGAAAACCTCAGAGTGAAGGAGGGAGGGGCTCTCTGGGCTTGGCCTGTTCTTCTCTGTCCTGCAGAGGTTCCTGAAGTCTCTCCTGACCCGGCGGATTATTACCGAGCAGAGGGGGTCCTGTCTGACTGATTAGCTGTGAGAAGAATCAAACTGCCTGAAGGTCTCAGACCTTCTTCACCCTGACTTGGAGGAGACTCCAGGTCCAGGAGGAGTAGCGGCGCTGACTGGATCAGAGCCTCCTCTGTCGGTTCTGGATGTAGTTCAGCATGAACTCTGTTTGTTTTGTCCTTCTTCAGCTTCCATTCATCCTGAGCAACTCGAAACGACCGCAGAACCAGAACTCATTTAGGTTTTTATGAGTCAGAGGCCACATTTCCATCTGATGATGTGTATCTTAGTGCTGCATGGTGGGGCAGTGGCTGGACGGCTGCAAGCAGCAGGAAGGTCAGGAGTTGGAATCTTTCTGCTCTGCTAAGAGCATTCACTGACCTCCAGGTCAGAACATCCCCACCCAGAAAATAAGCTCCAGATAATAATGAGAAGGGGTTGTCCTTATTTGAGCAAATGTGGAGAAGTTAATACTTTCTGCTCAGTGTCCCCTCTTTGCTGCATCTTTCTGCTGAGACCAAACCTTCTCATTCCTTTCTCTTCATCCCTGTGGGGCTGGAAGCAGTTGGAACACAGCAGCTAAAGGTTCACACAGCTGGTTAGAAACCAGCTCTAGATGGACTCCATGACCAACATGGCTGCGGATGGACATCATCTTGGTTCCATGTGGAATGAAGGCCGTCTGGGCTGGAAACATCAGCGTCTGGAGCTTCCTGGATCAAAAAGGCTTCTAATCCTGGTGTTTATTATATGTTTTCACTCGCTGCATAAACCACCTCCTCTTGTCCAAATACACACTCAGCACCAGGCGGCAGGGCAGGACTGTGATGAAGACGGATGGGCTCGGTTCAGGACCCATTAGCTGCTAATCACGTAAGGTTTACTCACTTCAATAAGCCACCAGGTCTGCCAGAGAGGCACTGATGCTGTTTACAGCTTGGACCCAAACACACCCGCCAGCAGCAGGAGTTCTGATGAAACGGGCCTGAACCTGGCTGTGATGTTCAGGGACCCCCGGACTGCATGTGGGACCGAGACGAACACAGGCATCAAAGTTACAAATGAATACAATGATTAGTTTATATTAAACTATAGGAACATATTTATTGAATGATTATATCACCATCATGTTCAATAGAGATTTGAAAGAGGATCAAATAAGCACATGATTGAATGGTGTGTATATGTAGTTAAGTATAGGTATTCCAAAAAAAGTAAAAAAAAACAACAACAATCCACTGGACTTTGTTTTCCAAGCTTGAAGACGTTTCCCTTCCCATCCAGGAAACCTTTTCTATTCAAAATGTCTGTTTCAATTCAAAACTCTCCCTGGATGGGAAGCAAAACGTATTCAAACTTGGAAAACAAAATCCAGTGGATTGTTTTTTTTTTACTTTTTTGGAATTAATATGACCTGGATTATTCACCAACATTCAGTATAGATAGAAATCATTCTGTAGTATGTTATCATTGGATTATATGTAATGCAGTAATGCATAAATTACATATATGTGGTTATATCATGACTCGTTCCTTTTGAATATGTAAAATATTGACTGTTAAGCTGTTAAAAATTGTTAAGAGGTAAGCCAAAAGTTTAAAACTTCCTAAACATTTTCATTTCAAATAAATAAAACAAACAAGCTGTGTTTTAGATAAAAGAAAGTAGGATGGGGGCGGAACATTGGATCAGTTTGTAAAACTGAGTAGTAGACTGGCTCAGGTTATCCTGAGCTATCTCTATAGTTATGCTGCTATAGGCTTAGACTGCTGGAGGACATAGGGACCCCCACTTCATCATTCTTCTTCATTCTATCTCTATTCTCCCACTCTGCAGAATCTGTTAGTTCAATCTCTAATGTTCTGCTCTCTGCTTTTTCTCATCATAGTAGCTTAATCTAGTCTGTTCCTGTTTCGCTGTGACTCCAGAAATATCAGCTGTGCTGCTGCCATCAATGCCTTTGTTTATAGATGTTGGAGCCTGGCCTGTTTTTCAGTGTTTAGTCCTGTTCCTCTCCGTGACTAACTGGATTTTCTCTCTTTCATCCTCTGACATAAAAACTGGCTCAGAGTTTGTCCGATTAACTGTTTCTTTCCCTAGTTTACCGTTAGCTTTTCAAACATAGAAAATATTTATAGATTAGGGAATCTATGTTTCTTTTCTACATCTACTCCTGCTCCTTGAATCCCAGTCGGCCTCAAGAGATGGCGGCTCACAGTGAGCCTGGTTCTGCTGGAGTTTTCCTCTCCACTGTCGCTACAAGCATGCTTGGTGTGATGGATTACTGAAGAATTAACATCTACTGTCTCTACCCGCTCTTTATGTAAAGTAAATTATTTCTTGATCCGACCGATCTGGATATATAAAGAAATGTGAGATGATGTGTTATGATTGGGTGCTTAAACCAAAGAATTCCACCGAAGCAGCAGAAATTCATACTTTATTATTAAAACCTATTTTCCATCTAAATTTAGAAACATTTCAGTGATTTTCTTAAGAAAATTTTTCAAACTTTTGCAGCCGTGGAACCATCATTGCTCCAAAAGGAGCAATTAAAACCACAATCCAGCTCTTTGTTGGAAAACATGGTGCGGATCGGCTGATGGTTATTAATCTGGATCAAAGATCAAAGAACCAGATCCTGGATCCTGAAATTAGTTTCCTCTGCAGGATGGCTGGGCTCTCCCTTAGAGAGAGGTTGAGGAGCTCTTCATCCGTGAAAGCCTGAGAGTAATGCTGCTTCCCCTCCACATCCAGAGGAGTCAGCTGAAGAGGATCAGACATCTTTATCTGATGGTTCGTCATCCATTCTTTGCCTGCTTTGTGTGCCGGAGAAGGATGGAGCTGTTTGAATCAATAGCCATCTTCCGGTCTCATTATTTTCACAGACTTCGAAGGACCCAGTCTAGGTAGACTAGGTCCTTGGAGGATGCAGCCACCTGAAATCAAACACATCCTGGGAGTCTCTGCTGAGGCTGCTGCCCCCAGATCTGGTCCTACATGAGTTTGAGGAACTGAGAAGAGAAATCCAGACCGTATTCAGATCTGAAACAATGTTGAAAATATTATAAAGCAAATAAAACCAGGAGAAAGAAAGAAAACAGAAAGAATCTAAAGTGGACAGAGAAGACGGACAAAACCAAAGTAAAAACGAGAAGAAAACTAAGAACGGATTAGAAAGCTATGATGGAGGAATGTGAGAAAATTAAACTGGAAGATAAAAAATTTAATATTTTATCTTCATAAAATCCCTCAGCAGTTAGTTTTGCTTCATATGATTCTGCTTTAACACAGAGAATTTAAACAGCAGTTTTTTCACATTTTCATGTTGTTTTTTTTAAAAATATGAAGCATATTTGAAGCTCAGAAGGCCGACTTTAAAACATCTGATGGAACATTTTCAGATCTGCTCTTCCTTCTAGAAGGTCAGTTCAGCCTAAACATGGAGGCTGTTCCTATATGTGCTCTCAGCAGCGCTGCGACACTGAAAAAAATATTTATTGTATGTTTAACATTTGGATCTCACTGTTGAAGCTCCACAAACTGAAGTTCTGAAGGAAAACATCCTGCACCCTCAGCTCAGCGAGTGAGACGTTCAAAATGTTTCAACATCTCTGCAGCTTTGCTTTCTCCAACTCTAAACAAACACTCACAATCCCACGGGGATGTGTGCACATGTGTGTGCGAAGGCTTGTACACGGCGGCAGGATTACCACCCTCAGACCGGGACCACCCGGACTTTAACACTTAATCCGGCTGGAAGCGGAGCAACGTCACAGAACTGTGAAGAGCCGGCTCAGTTTGTCTGCTCACCGACTCACACACTTCGGCTGAGGCCTAAAAGCCAAACAAACCTTTGGAGACTTATGCTATACAGCTGCTCTACAACTAACCCACCATGTTTGTTGAAGCTGGGTTTTCCAGAGGGTCTGTAAACGCGTTGACATGTTTAGATGTGCAGCCTGACTTTGTCATGAAGGGAACCTGGAAAATTACTTTTTGTTGTTTACAATGCTGACCTCCATAGGTCCACCTTGGTCTCCTTAGACCTCAGACCATCTACCTTTTAGTTTTGAGGATCATGAAGATGGCTTTCATCTTCAGTTTGGTCAGCAGATGTTTTAACCGTGGACCTCTCCTTGAACCCCAGTGGGCCTCAAGAGAAGGCCACTCTGGCTCTGGTTGTTATGTAGTTTTCCTCCCCACTCTCACCGCATGCATGCTCAATGTGAGGGAATGCTGAAAAGTAAATATCTCCTGTCTCTACCCGCTCATCCAGGAGGAGAGAATCCTTTAAAGTCAGTAAGTGGATGATCTGGATCTATGAACTGACCTGAGGTGAAACCCTGCAGACCCATTAGATGATCCAAGTCAGAGTTCTGATGATGTCTGTTGATCCAGAACTGCCTGAACAATTGGGCCAAATGGTCCCCCCTTTAAAAAGGGGGTCCGCAACCCCTAGGGGGTCCATGGAGGTACTGCATGGGGGTTTCGAAAGTTTTGTTTGATTAGACTTTTTATCTATATTCCCTCCTACAATTTTTTCCACTAATCGAAATGTTTTTAAATCCACATTAACATGAATTCAACAGACTGTAGTAAACAGATAAATGGAGGCAGAAAATTTCTTTCAGTCATCAATGCTCACATTCAGCGACACACAGGAGCTCTTTCAAGCTGGGCACCATTTCATTCACAACACCTGTCCCATCAACCAGGAATCAGAAATACTTTAATAATCCCAGGGAGAAATTACTTTCGTTACACAATTACTCCATCTGTAATAGAGCTACAAAAGGACCAGTTTGAGATAACACAAGTTCATACAATATATATAATTAGGGGGCCCCCGCTTCATCTCACCATCAGTTTAGGGGTCCTTGGCCTGGAACATGTTGAAGACCCCTGCTAGAGATAATATTTTGATTTCTTTTCTAACATCCTGGATTGTTGTCCATGTGCTCTTGGAGTAATTTTGGTGGACCAGACCCTCCTGGAGCTTCAGAACATCTTGCTTTGATGTTTTATTATTTTTAAGCTATGAGTTTTGCTGTTTGTTTGCAGGAGCAGAAGAAATTAAAGATGTTAATAAAAATGTTGGTAAAGAAGCCATTTCCTCCTGTTTCTCTGCATGTTTGAACTTTCTGAAGCATTTTGCTGCTTTCATTTTCCAGTAGGTTTCAGACCCTTTAAAGCAGGGGTGTCAAAGTGGTTCCAGAGAGGGCCGTGAGTCAAGTGAATCCAATCTGAACATGATGACTTTATGAGATGACTGGAGTCTGGTGAGCTATTGCTTGGTTGGACAGAAAACCTGCAGCCACACGGCCCTTTCTGGAGCCACTTTGACATCCCTGCTTTAAAGGTTTGCTTTGTCAGTCTTGGATTTGAACCCCAGACTTTCCTGCTAACCAGTGTGCTGACATGTTTTTTTTTTTTTTTGGTTCCCTTCAGAAGAAGCAGATCCATGAGATGAAGGATCTACTCTGATGTTTAGAGTCTGTAGGGGCCTCAGAGCGGCCCTCACGCTGAGGTCTGGCATCGATTAGATGGAGCAGGGTGTTCATAGTGTGACACCGCTGACGGGCCTTTCACAGCTCATTGCATGTCCTCCAATCAGAGAGCAGCTAGCGTGACTGCTGTTTATTTATATGGCGAGCTGGAAATGTGGCTGAAGCTCTGGAGAACATTGTCTCCATCAACACGCGGCTCTTAGTGATGCAGACAAACCAAAATGTTCAGGTTTCCATCTGTTTCTGCTGAGATGTTTCTCCTCTAGAATCACCGTCAGGCTCCAGTTTATTTAAATCATGTCGGATAATCAAAGCCTGTGTTTGTGTGTCTCTGAGATGAGACGCAAAAATAAATAAACCTGACTCCATTTTCTCATGCTTCAAAAATGACTCGGGTTATTTGTTTAGCTTCCAGTATTAAAAACCTGAGTTCCTGGGGCCCAACTGGCCCCAGAAAACCAAAAAGAAAAAAATCCCTGAAAATCATCAACATTAGTTTCAACTTGCTTGATCTCTGATTGGCTGATGCTGATTTGGTGATAAAAGCATCGCCTGTTTTCATAATAATGAAGCGTAGAAATGAAGGATTTAGATGATTATTTTCAGTACAATTCATCAGAAAGGAGGAAGAATTGGAGGAAATACAGTTTATAAAATTATAAATATTTTTCATCTTGGCTTGAAAAAGCCAGAACAGCCGATAAACATGAAGTAAACTATCAGTGAGCTTAAAAGACTCCAGATGTTTTCTGGTCATCACCTACATTTGAGCAGCAGAGTTATGGAAGCATGAGAGAGACCTGAAACAAATCAAGCTGAGAGGAATGATCCTTAAATCACATTTACAATTTATTCACCTGGTTTATTGATATCATACATTAAATGGTTGAAACCCAGAACAACTGATGGACCTGAAGGGGCCTCAGTGAGGAGAGGAAACCTGATGCTGATCCACAGGCAGGAAACATGGAGCAGCACAGAAAACCTTCCTCTGAAGAGCCACCACAGGGAGGCGCTACACACAGTGGAGCAGTGAAGTCATATGAGGCGCAATGCTGCCCCTTAGTGACAGCACAAAGTAACAGCAGGGAGTCCTCAGGGAGACCTTACAAGACAGATGATGAAGTAGGTAGGATGGGTGGGAGATTCAAGGTTTCGTTTCTGTCAGTTAAAAGGTGAAGCCAGAGAACAACAACAACAACAGAACAGTTAAATAAATAAATAGACGTCTGAACATCAGATCACTGCAGGCCGAGTCCTTCGTGAGACACATTTCAGAGGGAAGAAGAGCAGAACCCAGAGTGACGTGAGGCGTCGCCATGAACACTGGAGGACTTTGCTTCCTCTGCAGAAATGATGCTCTTATTTTATTGCTCTTAATCCAACCCTTTACAGACTGGAGATGATCATTTTCAGGACTGAACACCATAAATATGAAATGGACGTGGAGCTGGAGAGAAACCGGCGCCGTCCTCCGCCTCACTCTGCCGCCATCTTCTCAATGTGTTCTCTCAGCAGCTTGTATTGCTCTGCAGGCAGAGGAAACACACCAGTCTGATCATCTCCAGTTTAGTTATTAGCAGAGAAAGATGCAGACACACAAAATGAGAAATGAAAGGGATGGAGAAGCAGGAATGACAAAAAAAAACCCAAAACAAAATACTGGGCTTACTAAGACTGATCTGAAACCACCATGAAGGTCTAAATGTGTTTGGAGATGGTTTTTTTTTTTGTTTTTTTCAGGAGTATCAATTCTTCCCTCCTCTGCTGCCTTTTACAGACCAGGTCTGAATTCATTCAGTAGCTAAATCAGCTGATCTAGAGCCGAGGCAGCAGAGACTTGAAGAAATTATCCAAATAGTGGTTTATCTGGTTCAAATAAAATGTGGGTCGCCTCTTTAAGTTTGCTGCTGGGAAACAGGCTCAGAGGCGGTTAACCTATCACATGACTAACAGGGCTTTAAGGGAAGATTCAGATGGTTGTTTTTTTTAAAAAATGGAACCAAGTTAGAGCAAATAAAATGAAGGAAAATTTATGAGTAAATTCTGGATTCTCCCAAACTCAGCTGCTAATCTACAGCAGAATGAAGATGCAATGGTCCAGTTAAAGTCCAGATCTCAACCTGAGTGAAACTCTGTGGTGGGACGGCTGTGCAGAAACAAACATCAAGTATCATGTCTCTGTGAAGCTTTACCTTCATTTAGATTTCCGATGACGGCCTGCTTCGTCAGGAAGTCGTTACAGAGGCGCTTACTGAGACCAAAGGCCAGCATGTTATGGGTGAAGGTCCTGAAACACAAACAGAATCAAATGACAATCTTTTTTTTTTATTTCACTGGATTTTGATTTTAATCTGGTGAACTATAAAGTGCTTTGAGATGACATGTACTGTGAATTGGCGCTATATAAATAAACTGAATTGAATTTTCATTAAATATAAGCAGGATTATTATACAGGGTTATTATTGCACAGGGTATTTATATAGATGTATTTATATAACTATTGCACGGGGTATTAAATAGTAATTGCACATTATACATCGCACAAGTTATTGGAGTTGTAGTGTTGCATTTTATAGTCAGGGATGAATGACCTGCGGTAGCGCTCCTTTTTACCATCAGGGTGTAAAAGTCTTTCATTAAAGGAGCTGCTCAGCTCCTCTACACTGTGGTGCAGGGGGTCAGATGTGTTGTCCATGATGGATGTAAGCTTGGACAGCAAGTTGATAAAAACTGGACTCCTCCCTATGATGTCATGCTGCACCCACAAACCTCTGACGTCATTTTTTTCATTTTCTTCCCCTAAATGAAAATCTTAAACCCCGTTTATGTGGATATCCCTAAAGAAACCTCCAGTCCAACCAGCTGCCTTTAGTTGTAACCTAATCTCAGCTAAGTGGCTTTATTCCTGAGAGGCTCCATTAGGAGGATTCCCTGGTAATATTGGGGGTTTCTGTCCACCTCACCCCTCTGTACTGAGTGGTTCAGCAGCACCTAATTCTTTTCCTCTTTGTCTTGGAAAACATGGCATCGCTTTCTGTCGCTTTGCAGATGGCTACCTGATTTTTCACGCTTTAACAGCCAACAGTCTGTGCTCAAGCAAACCCCTTTTAAAATTCAGTTCAACTCAGGTCAACACTTTATTACCGTTGGGTTACTACATAATGAAGCACCCTTGCAAAGGTCCTTGAAATACTTGTTGCTGAGCAACTTAAAAATGTCATTGAATTAAATACAATAATCAGTCTGGTTTTAGAAAACGGCAGCAGAATATCTGCTGATGTGATGGTCTTAAATTGCATTGCAACGCACTTTTTACGGAACTTTCGAAGGCTGTTGATGCCGTCGACCATTACAGACTGCTTAGGAGTCTCTGACATTGGTCTTTCTACCGAGGCTGATTTATCAGGGAGGATGCATTGTGGACATTTTTCTGGGTTGTCATCTTGCCTTCTTCCTGTTACAAAGGGGTCTCCCATCGATTTATCTTTGGTCCACTGGTCTTTTCCATCTATATTAATGATCTGTGTTGTAATGTGTCAAATTCCTTTTTTCATTTTTTATGCAGATACTGCCTCATCTACTTTTTCATGCAGATGAGGCAGAGGACAAAGTCATCTACTATCTTATGCAGATGACGCAGTCGTCTACCCTTTTATGCAGATGACTCAGTCATCTACTATCTTATGCAGATGACTCAGTCGTCTACCTTGTTATGCAGATGACGCAGTCATCTACTGTTTTATGCAGATCACACAATCGTCTACTGTTATATGCCGATCACGCGATCATCTACCATTGCATGCACATGATGCAGTCATCTATGGTTTTATGCAGATCACGCAGTCATCTACCGTTTCAAGCAGATGACGCAGTCATCTACCATCTTAAGCAGGTGACTCAGTCACCTACCCTTTTATGCAAATGATGCAGTCATCTACCATCTTAAGCAGGTGACTCAGTCGCCTACCCTTTTATGCAAATGATGCAGTCATCTACTATCTTAAGCAGGTGACCCAGTCGCCTACCCTTTTATGCAAATGATGCAATCTACTATCTTAAGCAGGTGACCCAGTCGCCTACCCTTTTATGCAAATGATGCAGTCTACTATCTTAAGCAGGTGACTCAGTCGCCTACCCTTTTATGCAAATGATGCAGTCATCTACTATCTTAAGCAGGTGACCCAGTCGCCTACCCTTTTATGCAAATGATGCAGTCTACTATCTTAAGCAGGTGACTCAGTCGCCTACCCTTTTATGCAAATGATGCAGTCTACTATCTTAAGCAGGTGACTCAGTCGCCTACCCTTTTATGGAAATTATGCAGTCTACTATCTTAAAGCTACAGTGTGTAATAATTACAGGGATATACAGTCAGAAATGTAATATATTATACATAACTATGTTATTTTATCATCATCTACGAGCTCAGCCTCTTAACCTTAATATTTGCGTTTCCTTAGAATTCGTTATTTATAATTACATAGGAGCGGGTCTCGCAGCCATGG